TCCGGCCACTGCTGGAATCCGAGGCCGGGCCTGGGGGCGCTCCGGGCTCCGACGCACAGCCCGTCCGCCCCCGCCTGTACCCGGTGAGGGGCGTCCGCCCTCAACTGGAGGTGAGCCGGGACGACGGCGGATGGGCCAAGAGCACGGCGGGGGACGGGGACACCGGGGAGCAGAGGGGAGTGGGGACGCTGGGGCCTCTTGCCAGCTCGCTGGGTGAGAGGTTGCAGGGTAGAATAGGTGCCTGCAACCCAACCGGGGTGCGGGTGGGCGGAGCGGATTTCGCAAAGCAAGAGTCCGTGGGATACCAAGTGGAGGCACTCGCCTCAGCCCGAAGAGGGGTCAGCCCTGGGAAGGACGATGGGGTGTCTGCATAGACAAGTGCGGGGGGTCCAGGAAGGGTGTTAGGGAGGGGAAAGTCGAAGACTGAGCTCCGGGTCGGAGTGGGGGGAGGCGGAGAGGTTAGTTATCCGGTCCTGAAAGGCAGGTTCAGCTGCAGGGATGTGGGGAACACTGACAGATGCTAAGAGGAGGGGCGCACGGGGCTGCTCCGTGGAGAGACACCCCAGGGGACAAGATTTTAACTGGACGAAAGGAGTGTGAGACACCGGACCCCACCGACTCTGGGAAAGGGACGCAGGGGAGGTCCCGAGGGGCCGGTTGTGGAAGGCAGGCCCGGAAGGAGGGGCCCGGGGACTCCAGGGGGCGGGGCCCCGAGGGATGCTGTTCCGCAGGGGCTTAGGACGCGGCCGGAGAGGCAAGGCTCACCGGCCCGCGCCGCGGCTCCGGGGGGCCAGCGTCAGCGCGCGGTTGCCATAGTGACGGGCGGGCGCCGGGCGGGGGCTGCGCAGAAAAGAGGTCAGCGTTCGGCTTTGCTGCGGCTGCCAGCCCCAGGCGGCGCTGGCGGCGGCGCAGGGTTCGCCTCTGCCTCCCCCGTGGCGGGCCGGGGCAGGGAGTCCAGGCCGCGCGCGGCGGGCCGAGCGCTTTCAGGATGCTCATCAAAGAGTACCACATTCTGCTGCCCATGAGCCTGGACGAGTACCAGGTGGCCCAGCTCTACATGATCCAGGTGAGGGCGATGGGAAGCGGGAGATCCTGGGGGCCATACTTCATGATGGGGTAACGGCAGGAGCACGCAGGCCGTACCTGGGACAAGGGGCTGGGCCCAGCTCAACCCCCGCCAGTCCTGCTCTGGGGCTTTGAAAGGGCTCAGAGGCCAGAGGAGGAGAAGAGAGCGACCCCCCTTCGGAGGCAGGGGAGGGTGTAAAGGCTGCAGGAAGAGGGGCAGAAGGGCATAGCGATGTCTCCCCACCCCCCAAGTGCTCAGCCCGTGCTGGGCACTCAGCCCATGTCTGATCTCCGTTAATCCTTAGACTC